GGGTGCCGCCTTTCCGGAGCCTGCTGAACTAGGGAGGGATCAGGGGCGGAGCCTCGGGTGGGGAGATGGGCCGGGCTACGCTGGGAGGAGAACGTACGGGGCCGGGGGCCGTGGCCTGATCGCTTAGGGGCTGGACCGACCGCCACTCCTGGGGGTGTTGTTAGGGGAGGGTATTGTTGGCCGAACTGGCTCTAGGGCTGCTTTGGGGACCTGGAGTCTCTTTCCCGTATCCCCAAGGGAAAAAACTTGACGTCTGCCTCCCAGCTGCCTGAAATCGCCCTCACCGAACCCAGTTGCTTAGCCCCACTTTTTAAGCTCCCGTGGCAGACTGCTTTCCCATATACGTGCCCTTGGATCCCTTCGGTTGAACCAGTGGGGCGATGCTGAAAGGGAAGCCAACATATCAGTCAGTCTTCCCAGTGTGGAATTGCGCGAGCAAGTGGGTGAGCAAGTGGGGCTATGATGATGCCAGTAACACTGCGCGGATTCACGGAAGTTTCCAGCCCCGAGCTGGGGCCATCTCGGCCACTCTCCTGCTCCTCCCTGCCCCTCCCCCATCCCACGCATAGACACTGGAATGAATGAACAGCTGCCTCTCTCTTCCCCATTACCTTTGAGACAGACCACATTTACCGAACCAAAAACTGGGACACTAGGTCTGAGGGGTACTGGTGAACTTGTGTGACAGAATATTTGAAATCAGGCAGTCTTAAAAACCAGGACATAATATTTTCTGCTCCGAAGTTCTGGAGCTTCGCAATGTCTACCCCAGTCCTTCTAGGTCTCTCCAGCTGCTCCCTGACGCTAACAGCTGTGTAGCTGTAGCGTGGAGAATCACGGGCTGAGCAGGTGAAGTTAAGAGGTCAGGCCAGTGTGCAGAGAGTTAGCATGCCCGTGCTCCTGCCAAGCACCTGGGTGACAGTCACACTATTGCAATGTGACGTTCTTATGGACAAAAACTTTGCCAAGTCCTCCTCCCCCCAATCCAGGTGTAGCCAGGATCACTTGCCTGAAACAAGTGATCCCAAATGTCATTTTTCAGGTCCCTTCCTTCGGTCACAGGCATCCTTTTGAAATTGCTCCTCGCCACCTCTCTTCTTGGTCCTAGAGAGTCTCCAACCCCTACATGGATTGAGCTCCACCACTACCAAGAATCTTTCCCAGCAGCACAAATCTCAGAGAAGGATCACCTCTCTGTAGGTAAAGAAAACATCTATGAAGGTTTTCCATTTCTGGCCTTGGGGGAGAGCAACACAGGGTCTTCGTGAGTTAGTGGCAAGATTGAAGTCAGGGGGGATCACCGGTGCGGGAGTTATCCCTCTGGTTAGAAACATAGACTGGTTCGGAAAGAGGCACACAGATGGAACATAAACTATAATAAACTCTTTGTATATAACTTGGCAATATTGGTAAAAATTCACCCTGGCTGGTGTGGCTCACTGTCTGCAAACTGAAAGGTTGCTGGTTCAGTTCCCAGTCAGGACCAGGTCCCCAGCTGGGGGCATGCTAGAGGCAACCGATGGTTGTATCTCTAGCCTCTACCATATAGATGTTGTTCTCCATTCTTTCCTCTCTCTCTAAAAATAAACAAAATTTTTTTTTAGGTTTTTGGCTGGTGTGGTTCAGTGAATTGGCATCATCCTGCAAACCGAAGGGTCACAAATTTGATTCCTGGTTGGGGCATATGCCTGGGTTGCATGCCAGGGCCCTAGTTGAGGGTGTGGGAGAGCAACCAGTCCGTGATTCTCCAGCACATTGATGTTTCTCTCCCTTCCCCTTTCTCTAAAAAATAAAAAATAAATTTAAATAAATTGATAAAAATTTAAAATGCGCATGCCCTTTGCTCCAGCTATTTCATTTCTAACAAATCTTTCAGATATACTTGCCTATGTCCATGAACATAAGGATCTTTGTTTTCTTCACTGCTGTGTCTCCAGCATTTTGCATAGGGCCTGGTACCTAGTAAACGTTCAAGAAATACTTGCTGAGTGATTAAGTCACTCTCGAGGTATTTCTGGGGCCAGGTTTGACGAGTCTTGGCAAGGCAATGAGAGAGGAACTGTCTGGAGAGTGAGGGAAGAGGGGTGCAGGCCGGAGAGAGGATCCATGAACCAATCACCGAGGTTTTTCAATTTTATCGGTAGTCCCATTCCAGGCCTCTGCCCCCATCCCTCCACCCCTGGCCTCCCCAAAAAAGACTCTCATTACACCATCATGTCCCTGCAGAGACTCCTGTGCCCTGAATCTATCAACATGACCCTATCTTCTCATTTTTCTCTTCTCTAAAGTCTTTTGCTTTTCCCATTTGAATCTTCTAAAATGGGCTGGAGGACAGGTTCATGTCACTAGACACAGAAGGATATAGGTACCATTTCTCCGCCCAGGCTTTGGGCTTTCTATCTTCATTTCAGAAGCCTTAGACTGCCTAAAAACTGCCTCCTAGATTTTAATCCATTTTAGCCAACATTCATTGAGCACTACTACGTGAAAAAAGCATGGGTGCTAGCACATACCCTTCACAGCAACATCATTTTTCAGATGAGCAACTGTCCTTCTGCCACCAGGTCCCTTGCCTCGTCCACTGATACCTGCTGCAGGTGACAAGGGGAAGAAAATCATATCCAGTGGAACTCCCCCATTTGACGGTGAGTTCCTCAAGACCCAGGAGTGTGTGCCTTGCTCATTTCGGCATCCCCGTAGCATGGGGCTTGGCACATGGTAGACCCTCACTGTATGCATGACTGGTTAGTCACTGGACTGAACATGTAACTCAAAGAAATAAATTACAGGGGAAGAGTAGGGGGAGCAGGGTCCACCTGAGTGTACAGCTCTAAACCTGTCTCTCTCCCTGTGACAACTAGAGACAGGGGCTTACAGCCGAGACCCATCACGGTCCACCCTGCGGAGAACCACGAGGTTCTCTCTCACCTTTGCCCCACACTGACCATCCTCCAAATGGTGCCCAGGGCCCGTGTGTCCTCGGGAGGTGTCCCAGGGAGGTTCAGCCAGAGACAGCATCTGTGTTCAACGAGACTGCAGGAATCCCCTAGTCCAACCCTCTTATTTTACAAACAAACAACAAATGCAAGGGAAACTGAGGCCCAAACATGCAACCTTAAGGTAGGTGAGAGGGCAAATTGATGCAACCATCAGTTTAAGAATTACCTAGTAAAATTGAAGAGTAACATACACTAAGACTCTCCACTCCTTGGTACGTACCCTGGGGAATCTCCTACACACATGTGCTCAGAGACACGTGTGGAAATGTCCAAAAACTGGATGGAGCCCAGATGCCCCTCAGCAGTGGAATAGGTTTGTGGGCTGTGGTATATTGACACAATGTAAAACATGACCTCTGTGGGAGAATAAATAACTTACAGCTATACATAAAACACAAATTAATCTCAGCCCTGGCTGGTGTGGCTCCATGGATTAAGTGCCAGCCTACAAACCAAAGGGATGCCAGTTCGATTCCCAATTGGGGGTACATTAGAGGCAACCACACGTCAGTGTTTCTCTCCCTTTCTCCCTCCCTTCCCCTCTCTCTAAAAATAAAACATTATTCTTTTAATTAAACCTTTTATTTTAAGATAATTGTAAATTCATATGTAGTTGTAAGGAATAATATAAAGATATCCATGCACCCCTTCACCCAGTTCCCCCAATGGTAATACCTTGAAGAACTTTAGTACAGAAACACAGCAGGGAATTGACACACAATCCACTGAGCTTATTCAGAGTTCCAACATTCCCCATGTACTCACTGTGTGTGTGTGTGTGTGTGTGTGTGTGTGTGTGCATGTGGTTAAGGGTATCATTTTACTATTTCAACTTCAACAATGACTTATTTAGCTGCTACTATGTGCCGAGTGTTGAATTCTGGAGATACAAAGTTAACACAAGATTTCTGCCTTTGCATAGTCTGGCAACTAACACCTCCCAACAGGAGTCTGAGTGCCTGGGGTGGCTCCTTCTCTGCTATTTGCTAGTTCAGTGATCCTGGGCATGTGACTCTACTTCCTTATCAGTTTCCTCACCTATAAAATCGAATAATAACCGTACCTCACCCACAGGCTTGAACTGTGCTTAGCAGCATGTGCTAAAACAGCACTTAATCCCCTTACTTACGGTGGGGTAGAACGATGTATACTAAGGTTGTATGTGATAATGTTAGTTATTTACTGACCACCTTCCATAAGCAACTGAGACTTCGCTTCTACAAGCAGCCTTAGTACAGGTCACAATCTTAATGATGTTGGAAGTTGACATTTTAAAAGTAATGCAGTAAAAGCAACGGTGTTTGTTGGAACCTAGTCAGATTTTGTGAGGGGCTGGAGTGGAGGGAAGAGGGAAGAGTGTCAGGAAAAGCCTTGATCCAGGCCTGCCACCGCAGAGGTTCAGTAAATAAATGTGTTGAACTGAGAGTTGGGCACAAACGTTATTTCCCATCTTGTCTCATGCAGACTCTCACATATAGAAGGTTTCAGCATCTTCCCATTCATTTGGCTGGAGGAAAATGAAAGACTTAGAGCCCTTCCCGGCCAGTCGCAGGGTTACAAAGGGAATGAAGACTACGCAAAGGCTGACTGACTCTCCACCCAGTGCTCTCCTCTCACCCCTGGCCCACGCGGTGAACATGCCCTCGCCACGCGTGCCCTTTCCCTACTCGGAATTCTGTCTCCATCCTCTTCCTATTTTACTTTTCCTGTTGTAAATTTTGGACAAGATTCAACTACAGAGAGACCCGGCGGAGCGTGCAACAGCGAACACCCCCCTCACACGTGACAATCACACCTCCACCCAGTGCGCAGCTGCAATGAGAAGCGCAGGCTGGCCAATGGCTGCGGTTGTCCCCGGACTTGGGCGGGGCACAAGCAAGGAACCGGAAGTAGCTCTGTGCATCCCGGTTGCTAAGAGACAAGGTTTCCACAGGCCGGACAGAGGTTCTCCGGCTGCTTTTCCTCCCTTTCCGTGCTTCAGCGTCTCCAAATCCCGTCACCATGTCGCAGATAGAGGACCCAGAAACGAACGGCTTGCGAAGCACCTTTGCCTCTTACATGGCGGAGGGCGAGCGGCTTTATCTCTGCGGGGAGTTCTCTAAAGCTGCCCGTAGTTTCAGCAACGTGAGTCATGCTCTGAACCTATCAATCATCCATCACCACTTTGGATTCCTGATAATGAGGTCCTGATGATGCCCGGATGACCCCGTTACTTCTGTTCACTTGTTCCTGATTAATGCACCACTGTGACGGATAAGCCCCTGCAGAACCATTTCCTACCAATTCCCACTGCATTCTGCCTGATTCTTAGTAACCACTTTGTGCGTTTCAGCATGACCTCTTCTTTTTTGCTCAAGTATTTCGTGATTGACTGGCCCCCTACAGAGCAACCCCAATATCCCATCATTGGCCAGGAGATTGGCTGGGAGACTTCTTGCAGAAGTGAAGTCTCAGTTGCTTATGGAAGGTGGTCAGTAAATAACTAACATTATTACACACAACCTTAGTCTAAATCGCTCCACCCCGCCGTAAGTAAGGGGATTAAGTGCTGTTTTAGGATACCAGGCATACTGCTAAGAGCAGTAGAAGCCTATGGGGGAGACACTGTTATTACACAATTTATACAGAAGGAAACTGATAAGGAAGTTGGGTAGTATGCCCAAGATCACTGAACTAGCAAGTGGCAGAGAAGGAGTCAACCCCAAGCACTCAGACTCTACTTCTGAGGTGCTAACCACCAGAGAACACTCCCTCGCAAGTAAGTTTTTCAATGTTCTTATGACCATTCCTTTGACAACAAATAGCCATTTCTTATTCCAAGGGGAGTGGCAGAACAGCTCTCATAAACCTGTCCGGACACTCGTCCTAAAGCCAAGCTTCTCATCTGCTACCCAGGGTCTTTTGTCCCCTCCATCATCGACCACACCCTGACACCAGAAATGGTTGACCAGAGGGGCCACCAGCTAGCTGAGTTCAGGAGCCCTGCCCCCATCCATTTTCCTCTTTTTGGATCATATTTTGTCCTGGAGAACCTCAGAGAAAAGAACACCATGAGGGAAGATAGCTCTGGGTGAAAAATGGCTTTTTCCCCATGAAATACAATAGCCACTTCCTCTTCCTGGAAAAGTAGGAAGGTCTTAGAAAGAGGTAGACACAGTCTGATGCTTTCAGGAAGGACTATGGTAAAGATCTTTCCTACAGAAGAAGAGAGGACACTGTGAGTCCGCTCCCACTTTAGGGCCAAAACCAAAGTGTCGTTTTTGCTGGCATTCTCATTTATAATTTTTATTTTCTTAAAGATTGTATTTCTTTTTAGAGAAAGGAGAAGGGAGGGAGAAAGAGAGGGAGAGAAACATTTATGTGCAAGAAAAACGTCGACTGGCTGCCTCTCACATGCCCCCAGCCCGGGGACCCCAGCCCATAACCCAGGTGCGTGCCCTGACGTGGGCACGTGTGCCTCTTGGTTTGTAGGGTGGCTCTCAACCCACTGAGCCGTACAGGTTAGGGGCCGTTTTCATCTCAATCGCCTGAAATAGTGATTCATTCTCAATAAGCTATATATCTAAGGAGGGCTAGTGGAATGGATAACTCAAGTTGCAGATTGTCTTAAAATCTATCTTGTTAGCTTTCAGAATGCTTAGCCTTTGGAATGTGTTCTGAGTGTGTTGTGCATCCGTTTCAGCTTTGTGGGTGAATCTGGTATGCCCCAAACATCCTAAGCTTCTATTGTCTGAGTGGAGTGGAGGAATTGTCGACACTCAGGAAAATTCAGGATTATCCTCAGAGTAGTGTATTCTCGCCTCTCGGCCAGTGGCTTGTGATTTGACCTTGTTTAAGATGAGCCACGTGCAGATAACGGAGCTGACTAAGCAAAGACGGATAACATGCTGCTTTTCGTCTGATGAGACCCAAAGACCTGTTCGCTGCCCCGAGGAGTCCCCTCGATAACTCTGGCAGAAGGGTCTGGGCTGCTCTTTCCAGTCCTGCTTCTACCTTGCCCTGCCTGGTACTTGTCAACCTGAGTGGTTCCCTTCTCAGGCTCTTTACCTTCAGAATGGAGACAAGAACTGCCTGGTTGCCCGCTCCAAGTGCTTCCTGAAGATGGGAGAGTTGGAGAAGTCCCTGAAGGATGCCGAGTCTTCGCTCCAGGGGGACCCGACTTTCTGCAAGGTGACCGCAAGGGTGGAGCACTCCATCTTGCTTTAACGCTGCCCTTGTTGGCAGAGCCCTCTGACAAGTAGAGGTGGAAGAGCCAGCCAGGCTGCCTAGGGTTGGATGCCGTTTTCTCTTTCTCGATAGGTCTCTTGCCTTGCCCCTTTCTGCCCCTGTATCCCAACCTTGACGCTCCACTTAGGACCCTTCTGTTCCGGCACACCTGAGTCCTCTAAGGCCTCATCTGCTCGCCTTCATTTTGATGTCCTCTCATTCCAGGGGATTTTACAAAAGGCTGAGACCCTGTACACCATGGGAGACTTTGAGTTTGCCTTGGTGTTCTATCACCGAGGCTACAAGCTGTGGCCTGATCGGGAATTCAAAGTGGGAATTCAGAAAGCCCAGGAAGCCATCAACAACTCAGTGGGCAGTGAGTAGCCGTGGGGCCTTTCCCTCATCCGGGAAGTCTCTCTGAGTTCTTAGGGTTGGAGGAAGGCCTGAGGCGTCTTGGGTGGTGGCCACTAAGGCCTTTAGGGAATCCCACGCTTGGACTTGACTGCTGCGATTTCGTTGAGGCTTAGGAACCGCTCACTGGGAGGGCCAGTCCCCTGCCCACAGCACTGAGCACTGCAGCGTCGGTTACCCTTAAAGCCAGACAAGAAGGGCTCTTGCGCTCACCCCAGTCGGATGAGTATGCCCGTTCTGGCCTGGTGTCACAGGGTAGAAAGGAGTCCTGACCCTGGTCTTCCCTAGTCTCTGGCTTTCTCTCTTACCCAAGAGCTGGCCTGGGCTCAGGCGGAGAGGAGGAAGGAGTGAGAGCTCGCCAGTGTGGATTCAAAGTGTGGAAATGGCATGAGAGGGAGAGCTCTCTTTGTTTGGAAATCGGGCTGCCATGGCCTTGAGCTAGCAAGGGCTGCCCAGCTCCTACAAGAACATTACACCAAACCCTTACCATTGCCTGCCAGGCTGGCTCAGAGCCAGCTTTGCACAACATCTACCCTCCCCCCCGCCCGAGGCAGCCATTTCCATGTAAAAATATGTGAGAGATCACGCCGGAGGCCTGGCCGACCTGAGCCCCAGCTTCTGTTCTTGCAGGTCCTTCTTCCATTAAGCTGGAGAACAAAGGAGACCTCTCCTTCTTGAGCAAGCAGGCCGAGGTACGGGCCCTGGTTCTGACGCTGCAGCACCACCCCCCACCCCTCCGCCCCGCCAGGAGAAGAGGCCACATGTGCCTGAGGCCTCAATGGCTCTGAATGGCCCTGTTGCCTGGGAGCAGCTAGCTCCTACCCATCGCAGGCAGCATGGGACTCCGCCCCAGCTCTAGAGGGGCCCTGGGAGTCCAGGTGTGCCCGGGCCCCAGGTCCTGGAGGGAGAGCATGGGACGACAGACCCTGGTCCCTGACTCCCTGTGCTCTGTGCTGAGGCTCTGTCGGTGTCGCTCCATCCTCCCAGAGTATGAAAGCCCTGCAGAAGCCGCACCTGGTGAGACACCTCCTACACCCGCCTATGAGAGAGTCCAAGCGGAAGGGCTCCCTCAAGAGCAAGAAGACTGTCCGCCAGCTCCTGGGCGAGCTCTACGTGGACAAGGAGTATCTGGAAAAGCTCCTACTGGACGAAGGTTTCAGACACTTTGTTTGCAGCAGGGAATCAGGTGAAGGGAGCGTGGGGTGGCTACTTCATGCACGAGGCAGAGCCTGTCCTCTGAGATCAGCCACCATGGTCCTGTGGACAGGTTCTACTCCCATTTCGCAGATGAGGAAACTGAGGCGCAGAAAGGTTAAGTCACCTAAGGTCCCACGTAGGTAAGCAGTGACACAGCTTTCAGATTTGAGTCCGGGAAGTTCAATTTCAGAACCAGTGCTATTGAGCGCTGCAGTGCGCCGGGAGGGGACTCCAAAGCTCTGGGCTCCTCTCCCACTGGCCTCTGAAGGGGGCGTCCCCTGGGCCTCCAGTAAGGACAGAGGGCAGAGTAATCCAGCTGGGAGGCACTAGAGGGGAATCCTAGGACACTGATACCAGACTGTCCCACAGCTTACCTGGGACAGCCCTTCCTTTTGTAGACAAGGAAAGAGAGACCCTGACTGGGGAGTAACTTGACAAGTACGTTCGTGGTGGAGTTGGCCAGCACCCAGGCCCCTTCGCTTGGTCCAGCACTCTTTCTGCCACGCTGTGCCGGCAGTGAGAGGAAGTGGGATGGGCCTCGAAATGAATGCTTTACATAAGCATGCGCAGTGGGACTATTGCCATTCGCTGATCAGCCTGAGCCGGGATCACCCTTGAATCAAATGGCTTTTCTCCAGAGCTGACTTCCAAGGTCTCTGCAGGCTTCCCTGCAGGCCCGTGTCACAGGGCAGCTTCACCGCTGACATGCCTCCATAACAGACCTGCCTGCGTGCTTACTTTCCCCCGGGGGGTGGGGGGGGGGGGCTTCTGTGGAGGGACGGGGTGGCCTGAACATGACCTCCACCGGCCTTGCAGCTCTGCTCCCAGCTCCAGCCTCTGCTCAGGTGGCAGGCAGGACCTGGGCACACCCCTCCAGCTCCCAGGTCGCACCTAACTGGCCCACCTAACATCTGGGAAACCGCTGGGTGCTGGCTCCCTGGGCCAGGTCGTGCATTTAGTCTCAGTCTTCTTTAAGGAGAAGCCTGAAATGTGGGAGCCCTGAAGGCTGGGGGCTCTCCACCAGCTGCCCCTGCTTTAGCTCCTCGTACCTTGCCCTAAGGGACCTATGCACTAAGCTGTGTACCGTGAGAATGCCTGGAGGCGGGGCTCTGGCCTCGTCTGGGCCCAGACAGGCCCACACTGCCACCCAGGTGCTCTTGCTTCGCTCACCGTTTCTGCACCTCCAGGCAGGGTTCCGCACAGGGGGCGGGGAGCCACGAGGAGACAAGGCCCTTAGATGGCTTCCTTTCCCACAGACCTGATCAAAGGCACCGTCAAGCGCGGCCTGACCGTGGAGGACCTCATCATGACCGGCATCAACTACCTGGACTCCCGCAGCGACTTCTGGAGGCAGCAGAAGCCCATCTACGCCAGGGAGCGCGACCGGAAGCTGATGCAGGAGAAGTGGCTGCGGAACCGCAAGCGCAGCCCCTCACAGACAGCCCATTACATCCTCAAGAGCCTGGAGGACATTGACATGCGTGGGTGGTGGTGTCCCCAGAGGGGCGGGGACTTTACCAGGTGGGAAGGGAACACCAGCGTGGCTCAGCCCCCGGCTTCCCTGTGCTGTGGGTGGGGTGGGGTGGGGGCCGGGGGAGGTGGGTGCTCCCCTCAGACAGAAAGAGGCCGCTCCCGCCTGCGCATCACCCCTCTCCCTCCCCAGTGCTGACCAGCGGCAGTGCTGAGGGCAGCCTCCAGAAGGCGGAGAAAGTGCTGAAGAAGGTGCTGGACTGGAACAAAGAAGAGGTGCCCAACAAGGACGAGCTGGTTGGAAACCTGTACAGCTGCATAGGGAACGCCCAGATCGAGTTGGGGCAAATGGTGGCGGCCCTGCAGAGCCACAGGAAAGACCTGGAGATCGCCAAGGAATAGTGAGTGCCCCCAGGGGGCCGGGAGGGCGAGGCCCAGGTGCCTGCGGCAGAGTGGGGCCCGGGCTGTGTGCCTTGGCCTTTTGCCAGGGCTGCCGCGGGCGACTCCGCTGCTCTGCCCTGCTCGCCTGAGGTCAAACCTGCGGAGGGAGGGGCCACCTGCCGGGGACGAGGGGCAGAGGGTAAGGGGTGGAAGGAGACCGCCGGTGTTTTTGCCGCAAGGACGAGGGCAAACTCTGCAAAGCTCCCAATGGTCTGGCTCTTGGGGAGACTCTCACATCAACAAGCCTTCCTCCACCCTGGGCGTGCCAGACGCTGCTGCTGGCTTGGGGAGCACGACAGTGTCCAGACACAAGGGCCATGTCCCTGCGGCTGTGAAAGAAAAAGTGGCATTGCGAATAAATCGCCTCTGTGACATGAGGGAAAAGCACAGGACCCCATTCTACGAGTAGCATGTCCCAGGAGGACATGACTGGGCTTTGGGGAGCATGCAGGGCCTGTGAGAAGTCACTGGGGCAGGCAGGCAGGCTGGGGGCAGCTTGAGGCTGGAGAGCACAGGGCATTGCCAGGCAAAGAGCAGCCGAGAGGAGGCCGGACCCAGTGGGAAGGGGTCCGATCCAGCCAGGGCCGCGCCCACCCCGGTGCTGACCAAGCACCAGTGCTCTGGAGTCCCGCCGACTGAGCTTCAGAGCTGTGTCCCCAGGCAGGGCACTTAGCCTCTCCCAGCCTCAGTGTCCCTTCTGTCAGGCGGACTTAATGACAGCCCTGCCTGACGGGGTGGGAGGGAGGACCGTGTGCAGAGCACACACAGAAAGACCTCAGGGCTTTGCAGTGCGTCCAGGGTAAGAGCGGCATCAACTCTCCCGGGAACCGGCTCTTCCTGGCCCGCTCTCAGAGGTGCCGCGGCTTTCTGGGCATGTGGTTGGAGCCTTTGGAGTCACTTGTGACTTTCTCCTGCCTGGTCCCCGCTTGCCCCACAGTTCTGAGTCTCTTTCTTGCCTTCTGTCATCCTGCGTCTACACGCAGGTTGGCCCTTGGCCGTCCCCGTCTCCAGCTGCTCCCACGTACACGTCCCCTCTAGAGACACACTGCTTGTCATCCGCCAACCCTCCTTCCCTTGCTGACGGACAGGCCTTGGCCCCTCTGTGCCCGCAGGTTAACCAGACACTTTCTCCTGACACTCAGGGCCCCCTCTGGACCTGCTTCCGCAAAGCTCCCTGCCGCCAGTCCTGCACCTGGGTTACACGGGGCTTCCTGAACATTCCTGCCACCTGCCCTGTCCTTCTCCTTCATCAGAGCCCTGCACGCCGCCCTTCCTTCCCAGCTCATTTCTCACCTGCCTACGCTGCGCCGAACAGGAGTTCCACATGTTGGCCATTTCAGAAGCAGGAAAAAGTAAAACAAACAAAAAAAAGCCAACCAGCTTTGGCGGCTGGCTCCGGCCCTCAGAGGCTGTGTGGATTTGACCAAGTTAGTCACCGTTTCCTCATCTCTAGTGAAGGCGTAATAATGCCAGTTCGCTGGGGTTATGAGAATTAAATAAGATATGTATATACAGTAATTTGGATCCAACTATATCCCATGCCCTAAAGAAATATAAATCTTTGAGCACGGGCTGCAAACCGAAGCATCGCAGGTTCGATTCCCAGTCAGGGCACATGCCTGGGTTGCTGGCCACAGCCCCCAGCAACCACACATTGATGTTTCTCTCTCTCTCTTTCTCCCTCCCTTCCCTCTCTGAAAATAAATAAATAAGAAATCTTTTTTAAAATATATATAAATCTTTACTTCTGATCAGACTCTCCCCCAAGCCCCAGACCTGCATATCCAGTTCATTCCGAGGCGTTTCCACTCGGGGGTTCCACAGGAACCCCAAATTTAACATGTCCAAAGCGGAATCCCTTATGTTCCCACAAACCTCTTGCTCCAGGGTTCCCTATCTGTGAGGACGTCACTGTGACCACTCGGTTTCCAAGAAGGAGCCCAGGCTGCTGCCCAGACACTTCCCTCCCTCCACTGCGCCTGCTCAGCCCCCCAGATCCTGCCCGAGCTGCCTCTTCCCCTGCAGTTTCCCTCCCACAGCTCAGCCCAGACCCTCCTTTGCTTCTCGCCTGTGTCCTCTGACCTGGATTTCCTGCTGCCCAGCTGGCCCTTCGTGCAAACAAATGCAAAGATCAGACCAAGTTCACGTGCCCAGTTCTGCTGCCCTCCCTCACCTGGCTTGGCCTGGCCCCTCCTGACCCAGCTCTCTCCGGGCCCCTAAACAGGTGTGCCCTGGCCAACACCTTGTGATTCTGCTCCTGCTGGTCCCTAAATGGGACCTCTCCCTTTTTGCCGCCCTCTCTCCATCAGCTCCTTCCTACCCATTCTTCAAAGTGTGAATAAGTATCTTCCTTCTGGAAAGCCTTCCCTGCGTCCCAGGGGCGATTTAGAAATCTCTCCTGAGCGCTCTCTGGCCACGTGGGTCCCGTCTGCCCTGTTAGACTCTGGACTCGGGATGGGACTGTCATATTCCCTCTCTCCCCGGCTCCTGCCACAAACGGGCACGCAGTAAATGTGTGCTAAGTGGCTGAACAAACAGAGGTGTTCTCAGAGTTACTTCCTTTACGAGATCCGCAAACGGACGGGCCTCCAGTCTCACTTGTGAGTTCCCTGTGCCCCAGCTCCTCCCTCCTTCTAATCAGCCTCACCCCGCCCTCAATGCTCCTCCCCCCCAAAGCCTGGCATTCTTCCAGGTGCAGCCCAAGTCCCCACTCGTCTAAGTAGTTTCTTCAATGCCCGCAGCCCCTGCTTCTTTCTCTGAATACTCTATGGAGGACTTGATTGCATGCTTTCTCATTCTTATTACATATGACACGTTATTGCTATGGATAAATTACCATCTCACAACTCATTCACCACCCCATAACAGAGCCCCCACTTTACGAGGGGAGCTGACATCAGAGGTGGTGTGGGAGCAGCAGGTGCAAACTGCCGTCAAGGGTCCAAGGAGAGAGGCGGGGGGAGCCCTGCCGGGAGCCAAGGAGGCCTCAGGGAGGTCAGGGGTGTCAGTAAGAGACGACACGGAGGCAGAAGGGCCCCCAGGCTGAGGGGTGTGGCAGGGCTGGAGGGCTTGGGGACCTGCAGGTAGCGTGCAGGGCTGGGGGCCAGGCCCCGTGTGGAGTGGGAGGACGGGAAGCCGCCCGAGGGAGAGGAGGAAGGACCTTAGCCTGAAGGTACTAAAGGCCGACGAGGCTGGTTTCACACAAGCTGCGCAGTGTTGTACTTGGTCCGCAGCCGGGCGGCGCTGCGAGCAGGACCTGACAGTCAGTCTTTTCCCTCCCCGCCCCCCTCACTTCACTGGGAACCAGTGACATGCGTCCTTCTGGCCCCTTCCTAATGCATTTACCTACACGTTTAAGTACATCTGTGGGTACACAGGATCCTTAAAACAAAAATAGTTCACTTCTGTTTGTTTGTTTGTTTGTTTTTAAGTGCGTCTCGGGAAGCGTGTGGTTCTCTGAATGGCACTTCCGCTCCCACAGTGATATGCGTAACTACCCCTTTGGGGGCGCTTGCCCCGCCCCCGGTCTGCTATGGCTGGCAGCGCTGCAGGGGCGCTCTCCAGATCCGTGTGCAGACGAGTGTCTGGATCAGATCTGCATTTGAGAAAGGCAGGGGGCCACGGGGGGAAGGCTGGACAGAAGAGGGGGTGTCGTGGAAGACGTGGGAGCCAGCCAGCTGGGCTGCAGGCGCTGCAGGGGCCAAGAGGCACCAGACAGGGGAAGAGTGAGCGGGAATGGTGGGGGCGGGGCGGTGGGTGGCTTTCTGGTTTATTTGTTAGGAAGGAGGTCGTCCTGAACGGAGAGCTCAGAATGGTCACGAGGTGGCCGTAAGCAATGGAGGCAGGGGGTGCGAGTGTCTTTTCCCTCAGGGAACTATCCCGCTCCTTCTCCCTGATGACACGTGAATATTGTAAACATTTAAATAATGTGGGCAAATTAAAAGTTTCCCTCCTACTCATTTCCCTTAGGTAATCACTGTCAATAGTTAGACTTCCATTCTCTCTACTTTAAAAAATGCCCACTTTTTACTTATTTGCTTATTTTTTGGTGGTTTCAAACAACACAGTTTTACTCTCTAACCGTTCTGGAGGTTATAAATCGTTACTTATGGGCGCAGTGAAAATCAAGGTGCTGGCAGGGCCTCACGCCCTCTAGAGGCTGGAGGGGAGGCTGGTTCCTTGCCTCTGCCAGCTTCTGGGGCTGCGATCTTTGCACTCCTTGGCTTGGGGCCCCTCACTCCTCGCCAAAGCCGGGAGCACAGCATCATGCTGCAGGCCTGCGTATTTCTTTTTAACAAAAATGGTGTGATAGGCACAGAATACACTCCTATAATCTGACTGACTTACTTGAAATATATCAAGGATATTTTTTCATACACAAAAATTGCTGGTGCTAAGGCGCGGATAACGTTTAGATTGTTTCCAATGTTTATTCTTTTTTTTTTCTTTTTAAAGATTTTCCTGGCTGGTGTAGCTCCGTAGATTGAGCGTGGGCCTGTGAAACAAAGGGTTGCTGGTTCAATTCCCAGTCAGGGCACGTGCCTGGGTTGTGGGCCAGGTCCCCTGGGGTGGGGGGGGGGGCACTCAAGAGATAATTACACATTGATGTTTCTGTCCCTCTCTTTCTTTTCTTCTTACCCTCTTTCTAAAAAAAGAAATAATAATTTTTTTAAAGATTTTATTTATTTATTATTAGAGGGGATGACAGGGAGAGAAACATCAATGTGTGGGCGCCCCCTAGTGGGGACCTGTGGGGGACCCACAACCCAGGCATCTGCCCTGACTTGGAATCAACTGGTGACCCTTTGGTTCACAGGCAGCACTCAGTCCACTGAGCCACACCAGCCAGGGCTCCAATGTTTATTCTCATAAACTGTGCCTTAATGTCACATTATCCACTTGTGGTAAATTCCTAGAAGGAGAATTACTAGATCCAATGGACACCTTTGCAAACTGGTGGCTGATGGCCCTCTGGAAAGGTCCCAGTGATGTTCGTCCTTGTCTATAGGCCACGAGAGGCCCTGCGTGTGTCACCCCTGCCGGCCTGGGCACGTCCCTCGAGCTGGATCCAGAAGTCCCTGACTTCTTTTCTGTCTGCGCAGTGCCTGGAATGACCGATTCCTGGTGAACAGCTTCTCCTGACTCTTCCCTACAGCGACCTTCCTGATGCCAAGTCGCGAGCGCTGGACAACATCGGCAGGGTTTTCGCCCGAGTTGGGAAATTCCAGCAAGCCATTGACACGTGAGTGCCCGAGGACGGCCCCGCCACGGCTTGGGGCCGGGACTTCCCACCCTCACACCAGACACCCAGCCCCGGGCTGGGATGCCAGGCAAAGAGGCGCGAGAAGACCCAGGCCCGGCCCGCCCGGCGCTGCTAGGTGACCCTGGGAAAGCTGCGTCGTAGACGCTAGGGCTCAACAGTGAGACTGAGGACTAGACTAGAAGCAGCATTTTCTCAGGGCGTCCCAGGGACAAGTCACCTCGAGCATCTGTTAGGTATGCGAATTCCTTGGCCTCTTCCCTGCAAATTTCGATTCCACTGGTTTGGGTTGGGGCTGGAGCGCACGGATCTGTTTCAACAAGCGCTCCAGGTGACCGTTACCCTGGACCAGTTCAGGAACTGGTGGGCCAGTGGAGTCTGGGACTTCTTCTGACCCTATTCTGTGACTCTGGTCATGAGAGGACAGTGGTAACAGAGTCTGAACTTGGCAGGTGGCCCGTCTGCTGGACGTTTTGATGTCCAACCCCTGGGGCTAGTGACCTCCTGCAGTGGGGTGAGTCAGCCCCCGGGAGACTTCAGGGGAAAAGCCGCAGACCAGCCTGGGCTGGGCGAGCCCACTCCTTGGGCCCGCTTGCTTGGCGCAGAGGGAAGTGTCCTTCAGGCCTTCTCACTTGATTGAAATGGTCTTGTTCATCTCGGCTGCATGTCCTTTGGTTTCCTGACGGGCCCCTGGTGTCTATGTGGCGAAAGACAGAGGGGTATGAGAGTTGACCTACATTTTAAAAAATGATTTTATTTATTTTTAGAGCGAGGGGAAGGGAGGGAGAAAGAGAAGAAGCAAAACATCAGTGTGTGGTTGCCTCTGGTGTGCCCCATACCGGGGACCTGACCTGCAACCCAGGCATGTGCTCAGACTGGGAATCGAACTGGTAACCCTTTGGTTCATAGGCTGGCACTCACCTACATATTTTTATAGTAAAAAGTTTTATAGTAAATATGTGCTTACTGTTAAATATTAATTTGGAAAATACAGAGTAGTAGAAGAAAAATTATTTAGTCTCACCACCCAAGGATAAGTACTAATTCTAATCCTACTCTTAACTTTTTTTGGTTTGTATTCCATTCTTTTGTCTGTGTTCATTTTTTTCTTATATATACCTAATATTCTTCAACAGTATTTTTATGTTATTTCAAATGCCATTTGTAAACATTATTTGCAAATGTTGTATCAAGCCCTGGCTGGCGTAGCTCAGTGGATTGAGTGTGGGCTGCGAACCAAAGCATCGCAGGTTCGATTCCCAGTCAGGGCACATGCCTGGGTTGCAGGCCATGACCCCCAGCAACCGCACATTGATGTTTCTCTCTCTCTCTCTCTCTCTCTCCCTTCCCTCTCTAAAAATAAATAAATACAATCTTTAAAAAAAAAGATGTTCATGATTATTAGCACCACCCCTTATCTAAAAGAACTGGTCGTTGGAGAACAGTTCTTATCAGTAGGAGGCCTCGACCTCCCGCGGCCGAGAGCAGGGCTGGAGTGGGAGCCGCTGACCTGGCTCTGCCGGTCCCCAGGTGGGAGGAGAAGATCCCTCTGGCGAAGACCGCTCTGGAGAAGACCTGGCTGTTCCATGAGATTGGCCGCTGCTACCTGGAGCTGGACCAGGCCTGGCAGGCCCAGAATTACGGCGAGAAGTCCCAGCAGTGCGCGGAGGAAGAGGGGGACATTGAGTGGCAGCTGAATGCCAGTGTTCTGGTGGCCCAGGCACAAGGTATGGGCCGGGAGAGGACACCCCACCGTTCCCAGTCCTCAGGCCCAGCTACCATGCCTGGGCTGGGAATCCTGTGGGCCAGACTTAGCGTCCCAGTATGCCCCTGCCCAGATTACTTCTGATCCTGAGAGTGGGGATCAGCCCCTCCATTCTGACCAGCCTAGGTGCCTGTTTAGGACTCAGCTCAGTTAGGGCTCGGGGCACCCTGAGAGCTGCCCTGCCCATGAAGGGCACTGTGTGGTCACCAAACAGCGCCACCTCCTCTTGCCTTGGTGCCCCTCACATTGGCATCCTTGCATCTAATCACTGTGCAAGCCGGTGACGTGGGCATCGTTGTCCTCACTCTGTGGATGTGGAAACCGAGGCGCTGAGTGTTTCGGTGGGACACCCCAGGTCACACAGGGGAGCTTTCTGGAGTGACGGAAGTGCCCTGAAACTGGGCTGTGGCGCTCGTGGCGCAACTCCGTACACGTGCCAGAAACCACTGAACTGTGTACCTAGAAATGGTGCAGGGTGTGACATCGGAGTTACATCTCAGTGGAATCGTTTATAAAAAACAGCAAGGGCCCTGGCTGCTGTGGCTAAGTGGATGGAGCGCTGGCCTGTGAAGTGAAAGGTCGCCGGTTCGATTCCCAGCCAGGGCACATGCCTAGGTTGTGGGTTCAGGCCTCAGTCGGGGTGCAGAAGCAACCAATCAATGTTTCTCTCCCTCCCTTCCCCTTTCTCTAAAAATAAATAAAAATCTTTAAGAAAAAAAACAGCAAGTGGCAGGGGTAAGGAGAAACAGTTAAACAAGATGGGCAATATCGGGATAATTGTTGAAGCTGAGTGATGAGTAACTGGGGTTCATTACACTACTCCTTTCCCTTTCGTGTGTATTGGAAATATTTCCTAACATGAAGTTAGAATGGAAAGGGCTCCAGGTCATAAGCTAATGAGCAGTGGAGCTGGGGCTAGAACCCAGTTCTGTGCGACTCCAAAGCTCGGACTTTGTCAAGCTGGGCTAAGCTGCTGCTCCTGCTCCGGGTACACAGCTGACCCCCAGGAAGGGAGGAAATGTGACCAGTGCTGTGGCCAGGGGCATAATCACTCATTCATCTACCCATGCCACAAATACTTGGTATCTTCCCGATAACAATTTCCTGCCCTCTTGTCTGAAAATGTAACTTTTTAAAAAAAGATTTTATTTATTTATTTTTAGGGGGGGAAGAGAGGGAGAGAGAGAGAGAGAGAAACATCAATGTGTGGTTGCCTCTCACGTGGCCCCCACTGGGGACGTGGTCTGCAACCCAGGCATGTGCCCTGACTGGGAATCGAACCTGCGATGCTTTGGTTCGCAGCCTGCACTCAATCTATTGAGCTATGCCAGCCAGGGCTGAAAAGGTAACTTTTTAAAAAAGATGTTATTTATTTATTTAAGATTTTATTTATTTTTAGAAGAGGGGAATGAAGGGAGAAAGAGAGAGAGAGAAACATCAATGTGTGGTTGCCTCTCATGCACCCCCCACTGGGGACCTGGCCTGCAACCCAGGCACGTGCCCTGACTGGGAATAAAACTGGCAACCCTTTCGTTTAGGCCAGCACTCAATCCACTGAGCCACACCAGCCAGGGCTAAAGATTTTATTTTATTTTATTTTTACTGAGAGGAGAAGGGAGGGAGAAAGGGAGAGAAACATCCATCATTTGCCTCTCACACGTGCCCCAACCGGGAACCGAACCCACAACCCAGGCATGTGCCCTGACTGGGAATCAAACCAGCGACCTTTCGCTTTGCGGGGCAATACCCAGCCAACTGAGCCACACTGATCAGGGTTAATTTTTCAGGAGAAATTTTAGGGACGAGAAGGCACCAGGTGTTCTAAGAGCTGAGGGGGCAGCACTCAGGAAGGTGGGCAGGGACTGGGCTGATTTCCTGAGCCGGAGGAGACTGACGTTAGTGGGAGCCCCTGGGGGCCAGGGAGGTTCAGAGGAAGGAGGCTGATGAGGGGCCAGATTCACAGGGCCTCACGGGCCCAGTTACGAACCGTTGCCGCTTTCCTAAAAGCACAGGGGAAACCGCTGAAAGCTTTAAACCTGAATCACAGACGTGATCACTGTGGCTTTTCCTAGAACTAGTGTCTGTCCTCAGGAGGGCACTGTGTAAGCTGAAGCGGAGATGGCACATGCCCCTCAGGGCGGACGTGGTCCTGCGTCCACTCTTCAAGACTCACTGGGCCCGCAGGGCCCCTGGAGAGCTGGGGCCTGCGCTGCTGGTCTCAGTTTCCCCGCTCTGGAGTCTAAAACAGCACAGACGGCAGCCTGGGGCACCCCTGGCAGCCTCCGGGGCGGAGCTTGTGCTCCGGGCCCCCCTGGCTCAGGGACCTGGGCCAGCACCGCTCTGGGCCTCAGCGCTGTGCTCCGTAAACAGGGACGACTCGGGCACCTGCCTGCGGGGCTGGTGTCAGGAAATAAAGCAGCATTGAGCGTGTGAGCGCCGAGACTGGGACCGGCAGGCAGTGAACACGCAGTGGCTGTCCATCTCGTCCTCCTGCCCTCTCGTCGACGCCTCGTGGTGTCTCTAACGGTGATGGGAAAGCTGCGGGCTTTGGGACAGCCTGCTCACAAAGACGAAGGTGTAAAAGTGCAGATTTGCACTTGCACAGAGTGGGAAAGAAGGGGAGAACAGCCCCCAGAGTCGAGATAGCTTTAGGTGACCGATTCAGTTAAAAATGAAAAAAAAAAAGTTCTTAATATTTACTTGAATGAGCACTGTGACTCCTGTAGGGACCTGCAGCATCCGAGTGACACTGACCTTCAGTCACCGTGGCCTCAGTGGGGACTGTGTGCATTTGACCATGATTACGGTGACTCTGTGTGCCCCCTGAGTTACATGGAATTGCTCTCCCAATGGAAGGCAGTTTGACCCACAGACACCAGGCCCCCTCGCCCCGCGGATCCCAGCGCAGTTCTCGGGGGGGGGGGGGGTCTGGGCAGACACTGTTCGGTTGTCCCAGAAGCCGCGGTATGTGAAGAAGCCAAGTAAGATGTGGGGTCCCCGCACCCTGACTGGTGAGGACGTCTCCCGTTCCTGCCCGAACTGAAGCTCTTTTAAAGGGCAGCCAGTCAGTCCCGTCCCAGCTCCAGCACTGGCTGGGGGGGGCGCTGAGCTCGGAGGAGCTGCCCCCGCTCTGGGCTCACCGTGCACCCTGGGCGCGCGGGCCTCCGAGAGCCCGGGTCCCCGCTGCTGGCCCGTGCGTCAGTCCAACCCTTCCGTGTTTTCCGTGGTCCCCCGGAGATCTTAAAGAACCTGAGCAAACGTTTTTAAAACGTGGATTTCCTCTCTGGAACAATCTAAATGTGGGGCGAGAGTGAGTTGCCCCCTGGCCTGGAAACACGTGATGTGGGCCCAGCCCCCCCCCACACTGCCACCCACCCCTCTGAAGGCTGCAGGGTCCCAGCGTCCGCCCTGAGTGGGCAGGTGGCCCCGGGCATCTCCGTGACGCTGCCCGAGACCTGGGGCCGACTCCAGCTGACACAGGGTCGCCCGGGCCCTGGGCCAGGGGCTCCTGAGGGGGCCTGGCGCCTGCAGGGCAGCCGCGTCATGCGACACAGAATGTCACCACCTACCGTGCTGTGCCTCCTCCCCTCTGTTCTCCAGTGAAGCTGAGAGACTTCGAGGCGGCCGTGAACAACTTCGAGAAGGCGCTGGAGAGAGCGAAGCTTCTCCACAACAACGAGGCACAGCAGGCCATCATCAGCGTGAGCCTTTCCCCCAGCTGGGCCTCCCCGTGGGGCGCGGGGTGGGCGGGCCCTCGGCCCCTCGGCCCTCCCGGGGGGCCTTCCCACAGAGATTGACCACCCACCAGCCCCCGGGCACCCAGCAGGCGGGGCTGGACATTCCAGATGTCTGCTCCGTGCACGTATTTTTATTTGAAATACACAAAAAAATAGAAAGCGTTACAAAACACATTTATGTCTACTCTGGAAGCTGATGTTTCCTATTCTGTTTTTAATTTTTCTTTAATTTCATGCTGGTGGAGACCTTCTGAACTGATTTAGGTTTTGCAGTCTCAGAAATGCTACCTCCTAGGAGACCGCGCTGTTCAATAAGGCAGCCAGCCGCTGGCCACGTGTGGTTAAACAAAAAGGAATGAAAAGCAAACACAATTTAAAATTCAGTTCCTCAGTCACACTGGCCGCATTAGGAGCGCCCCGTACTCACATGGCTGTGGCGCCACATCGAGCAGATCCCGAGCGGGCCCATCCGCACCCAGGTTTCTGCAGGGCAGCGCTGGCCTAGGCTGTCGGCCTCAGGGGGCAGAGATCCCAGGCGAAGCCGCTGCTCCCAGAGCCGCTCCAGGCAGATGGACGACCTCAGTAGGCAGCTCAGTAGCAGCATGGGCCCCCTGGCCACCTCCCTCCCGCCCTCGGCCAGACTGCTGCCCCTGAGCTGTCCCGTGTCGAAATTTCAGAGCCGCCACCAGCATACAGCTGGGCCCCAGCAAGCGTCTGCTCGAGTGAATGACACAGGGAACTCATCCCCTTGCCCTGTGGCTGGCAGGAGCCAGACTGCATAGTAGTTATTCATGGGCAGGATGAGGGGCGTGGCCTCAGGAGACACAGTGGAGGTGCCGCTGGCCTTCAGGGAAGGGAGCAGGGACCCTGGGAAGTGACGTCTGGAACGTGCTGCAGCTGCAGGGGGCCCTCACGCTGGCCTTGAAGGACAAGGACCGCAGGGTCTGGCCGGGCCGACGGCACGGGAGGCCGTGGGTGCTGAGGAATGTGTGGGCGTCAGGGAAGGAGACGCTGACCTGGGCCCAGGGGCTGGGTCTCGGTGGCAGAGGGAGTTAGGGGCGAAGAACCCCAGACGGCTGGGGGACCAGCCTGGCCTGGAAGGTCTAGGAACGGCATAGAAGCCACCTGGCCCAGGCGGATTTTTAGGGGGCGAGAGCGTGGTTCGTGAAGACCACGGTGAAACCATGTTTCCCCGGTCACGGTGGAGAAGTCGCTCCCAAAGGGGCCCGCCGTGTGGCAGTCCGTGCCCCGTTTTCACCTGGCCCGGGGCGACTGTCACCTCGCTCTCTGTCTCGGAGCGGGGTCGGCTCCCTGGGTGTGCACCTTGGCCCTGAAATCTGGCCTCCAGAGGCAGAAGGCTGCCCTCCACTGGGGAGCGCACGCTCCCTCCCCGGTTCCCACGCAAGGTCTCTCCCACCGAATCTGCTTCCCCACGACCACCCTGCAAATACCTGGAGAAATCGTGGCAGTTAAATTCAGCAAATGTTTGCTGAGCATGAGTCGGCCTGGACTGTCCCGCCCAAAGGTGATGGCCACGGTCCTGGCCCTCAGGAAGCGTGGTGTCGGCAGGAAAGTTGTAACAAAAGCCTCTAGTTCGTGACCAGTGCCCTAGGGACCAGGGCACTCGGAGCGAGAGAGCCCCGGCAGGCAGGCAGGCAGGGTGGGGCCTTCCATCAAGGGCGGGTGAGGTCCCCTGGCGTGCCGGGCAGGGTGTCGAAAGGTTGAGAGGCAGAGAGCAGGGCCTGTGGGGCCAAACAGCCCCACGGCCCTAAGTGGCTCCTCACAGGACCAGATCCCTGACCCTCTACCCACCCGGAGGGGCACCTCCAGGCAGGGAGGCATACAGGGGGTGCAGACCAACCCTGCACAAGGGTGTCCAGGCCCGGTGGTCATTCGGTACATGGTTCTGAGTGCTCGCGGGTGCTCCGCCTGTGCACGTCACGAGGAAGAAGGCAGAGCCTGCCCTCGAGACGTGCACAGGCTGAGATCCAGGCCCGCAGGGACCCTGCAGTCACCCTGCCAGCCCCTCTGAAGGCAGGCCAGCCCAGGCCCCCCTGCAGCCTGTGTCTGAGTGCCTTACAGGGCTTGCTGCCCTGCTGCAGGCTTAGGGACTTGCCCCCAGCCTTTGCATTGGCTGGAAGCTTTAGGTAAAAAGCTGGAGATTGGTGGATACATACCCTTCCCAAATACATGCCTAAGCCCAGGGGAAACGAGGTCTGAGTTCCCTGCAGTCAGGTACCTCATGCCACTTAGCCTGGGTACTTCCACGCTACCACCACCCCCTCCCCCCCCCGCCCCCACCAGCAGGAGCCTTCGGAGGAGCCAGGAGCAAACGAGGGGGTGGGCAGTGCGGAGCCCTGCCTCCTGGGGTTAGTCTGGACTTGGGTGAAAGGGGAAGTGTAGGGGCCAAACAGGGGTTACGAGAGTGGATCAGTTCCTCTGCTACCCACAGGAGGGGGAGAGGTGTTCGTTCGTTTGTTTTTAATCTATGTTCACTGTTACCCACAGGCTTTGGACGATGCCAACAAGGGCATCATCGACGAGCTGAAGAAAACGAACTACCGGGATTTGTTCAAAGAAAAGAGAGAGAAAGGCGAGTTCCCGGAGACCCTGAGACCGCAGCTCCAGCATTTCCCTCTGCACTCCCTCCGTCAGTCCCAGGGCTCGGCCCCGACTGCCAGGCGCTTGCTCTGACTTCAGTGCCAGCGGCAGCCCCGGCCTTTCCCTGGGGCGGGACAGGGAGGCGACCCAGCCCACTTGGGCTGGGGTCTGCCCAGAGAGCCCACTCCTCTGTTTCTTCAACTCATTCACCAAGTATCTGCTGAGTACTCATCAGGTGTCAGGAAGGTGTGAGGTTTGGGGGCGACGGAGGCTCAGCCCCTGCCCCTGGGGAGCCCACCGCCCATTCACTGGGAAAGCCAGGCCATTCGAGGTGTCCCCAGGTGGGCTCCTGCAGGTGGGTGCTGAGCTGGGAGACCTGCTCCGCCGTGAGCACAGGCAAAGCTCTGCTCCGTCTTCTCTGGGGAGGCAGAGAAGGCTGGGGGGTGGGGGGGGAAGAATCATCCTTCTCAGGCTCCACGAGGTGCCTGAGGCTTTTCCAGGTGCGAGAGGGGGAGGGGGAGAGGATGGAGGGGGGAGGAGTTTCTGCCAGGGCCCAGCAGGAGCACGGACGGACGGAGGCAGAGTGACAGTGAGTCACACTGCGGGGCTCTTCCTGTGCTCCAGGCATGGGGTGAGGCATCTCTTGCAGACCCCGTCACCCCCCCCACCCCAACCCTGCCAGGAGATAGGGACTCTCTGGGGCAATGGAGGCTGAGTGCGGGTGAGTGCTCTGCTTGGGTCACACAGCAGTCTGACTGGTGACCCAGCCACACTGTCCCCTGCTGTGTGGCGCTGCTCCTTGGGGCCGCATGGGTAGAGAAGGGGCAGGGGGAGGGCCCAGAGGGGCACGAGGGTGGGAGGAGGCGCAGAGACGGAGCTGCCGGATCACATTCTTTCTCCCAAGGCCTCAGGGAGCAAAGAGGCCTTTGGCTCCCTGCCCCCAGGCTCTCTGAAGGAAGTGAGGGGAGAGGAGGTGGCTGGGATGACCTGGGGACCCCAGGCCCCTCCAAGTCATCAGGGACAGACCCCAGAGGGGGTGAGCGATGAGAGAAGTTGCTCTCCACTCAGTGCTTCCAACGCGCCAGAATCTCTTCTCGGGACTGCACACGCTGCTATGTTCAGACTCGTCCGATCCCGCGAGAACACTGTGGACTAAGCATTGGTAGTCGCTTGATTTCACGGAGGACACGGAGGCAGAGGGGCTGAAGCCCACGGCAGTTTTCTGTCTGGGGCAGCCTGGCTCCCGGGTCCAGGCTTTTCCACGGTTCCACACCGTCCTGGCCACAAGACCGCTTCCGCCTGCCCTTCTGCGGCTCCTGAGCCATATGGCAGTTGCCCTGCAGCCAAGGGGACAGAGCTGCCTGCAGGCGCCACGGCCGCAGCCCTCTCCATCCGGGCCTGGTAGTGGGAATCTGGGGGCGGAGTCTGTGGGCACCTGAGGAGGGACGGCCCTTCACTCACCAGCACCTGACAGGTGGTGGCTGGATCCCCTCGGAGAGGGGCTCTTCCCCTGCCCCACATGACCTGGGAGCTGCCATCAAAAGCCACAAGAGCAACAGATGTGAAGGGACACAGGTGGGAAATGGCAGATGCTCCAAGCACCCTCCCTCACACGCCCTCGCCAGTCTCCGCAGACTAGGTGCTGGGGAAAGTGTAAAAGAACGCATCAGGAGTGCCCCGTGCCCGGTGGCAGCTGCCAGGCACTTCCCTCCCAGAACAGCAGGTGGCAGCATTGCATAGCCTTCACCACCAAATGGCAGCCTTGTTCTGGCTGTGAACCTGAGAGCCCTAGTAGGCACTTAGAGACCAGGGGCTCCCCTGGAAGAGAATGTGGGGGCGACTCGGGAGGAGACTGGTGGCTTTTCTCTGTAGCTGGCAAAAACCAGGAGCAAGGCTCCCTCTGGTTGCAAAACAGCTCTCCAGCTGACCTTGCTGCGAGCAGTCTGCTCATATTTTCACAGGGAACGCCCCACCGAAATGATGAAATATGCTTCCCAGGGACAAAGGGAAATGCAAAGTGAGGCTGCTGGAGAAGAGACACCTTCTGTCCTTTCCCAGCCCCTACGCTGTTTCTTGTAGGGAAAGAGAGCTGTGGGGGCAGACGGTCCTGGGTTCGAATTCTGACTCTGCACAGATTTGCAGTGTGATCATGGTATGTGATTTCTCCCTACCGATTGATCTCAGGTCCCTGGACTGCAAACTCGCATCACTGACGGCGCACACTCTCATGACACCGTGCCCTGCAAGCGGACGGTATCATCTGTGCAGCTGGCACGACGCCCGGGACAGGGCTGGTGCCCGGCAGTGCATGGGCCCCTTCTCTCCTTCCGGACAGGAGTCCTTCTCTTAGAAGCGCCGACTCCCACAGGCTGGGGTTCACCCGGGCCCAGGGACGGACAGACTTTTACCTCTCTCCCCTCCTCCCTCTTGTTTTTCAGCAGAGGCTGCAGCATTGGATTACACGTCAGTGATGGCGAAGGAGAAGGAAGGAATGAAAAAAAGGAGGGACGAGCCCGAGAAGGTGATGAAGCAGTGGGACAGAGACCAAGCTGAAAGCGAGAAAGACACAGAGGACGAGTCGCCCTACGAAGACACTCTGATGGCAGTGAGAAAGCAGGAGGACGACAGGCAGAGAGAGGTCGAGAGGACCAGCTCCTTAAGGGGAAGAGAACCGGGATCCATGGGGACAGATTCGGGGGAGCTGGCCAAGAGACTGTCCGGAGAACTAGGTGTGGGACCGGGAGAAGCAGGCAGGAGGGTGTCAGAAGCGAACAGGAGTGACTCAAGAGAAGTTTACAGGAGGACTTCCAACCTGGATCAAAAACTCGAAGAAGACTTCATCAAAAGGGAATTGGAAGGACAAGAGGAGAGTCTTTCGGAAGCCAGCAGAAGAGAGTCGGAAGAGCAAGGGAAAACAGAATTGGGAGAAACGAAAACAGAAAATGATGAAAACACGGGAAAAGATGAAAAGGAAGATGAATAAGGCAGTTTTCCGTAGGCATCAGAATCGGGAGGCTGGTGTTCGCAGGCACCACGGGGATCTTAGGAAACTGCTTTCAAATGGAGATTTTTTTAATGGGGGAAAAAAATGTGGCCTGGGCCCTACAGGTCACTTCTGCCTCTTTCTGATACTGTTTTCCCTTTAAATATATATCTTTCACTCTTATGAACGCTGAGTCTATCATTTTGCCCCCTCACCCCGCCCACTCTCAGCACAGCCTTAGAGGAGGAATGGCTTAGCGTGGCGTGCCACTTCCCAGGCAGAACTCTGACTTCGCCCTGACTGGCTGAGCAACACAGAAACCCCCAAACAAGGCCTGACCTAGAGGACGACCGAGGTGTGAAGCATGGTCCTCTCCCCCAGGCCCTGTCCGAGAACCTTGTGGAAGAAAGAGAAAGGTGCTGAGAGGACTTTCAGGCGGGTGAGCAACAGGTGAGCTGTAAGAACCAGGACAGTCCCAAGGGGGCAGGAAAGAAAGGCCTGGGAGCAGAGGCGTCCACCCAGCTGCTGACCACTGGCTCACCTTGCCGAGGACCTGCTTTGTGCAGTACACTGTGGGAAGCTCGGTGGAAGAAAAAACGATGGGACAGCCTCAACCATCACTCAGGGAGGGAGACCCCCCTGTGAACCCTGAGCCCTGGCAGCAGAACGAAGTGAAAGCTGGCACTAATAGGGGAACTGTCCCCTGGGAGAACAGAGGAAGAAAATAGGTTCTTGCCCAAGAGCTGGAAGCAGCCTGGGAGTAGGAGCTAAGGGCCGTCCCGGTGCGCTCCCTCTGCCCGTGCGGTCAGCCGGGCTCCCAGGCCTGTTTCCTTTCTCCCCTGTGGAAAGGGCGCCCCCCCAGAGGTTGCTGTGGGCATTTTACGAGTGTTTACATGGCACTCGGTACAGAGGCTGCTCTCCAAAATCCACCCACGCTTTCAGTGGCTTCACAGAGGAAGTGGCGGCTGAGCAGCTGCCTCAGAGGATGCATTAGTTTCGTTAAAGTAATTCATCTGTCCCTTTGTCCACTGCCATCCTGGTTCTGTCCCCACAATTCCCAGCAGGGTTGGGCCGAGGCTGAATTTAGGCTGGGACAGGGCCTGGGCTAGGGTGAGGCCTGTCAGCTGCACCATTTCAGAGGCGCCGACTCAGTAAGCAAGATAAACAGTATTTCAATGCAATGTGTTTTTAAAAAATTGCAAACCCATAATGATTAAAATACCAAAATTTTATGTAAAGAGCCCTGGCTGGTGTAATTCAGTGGATCGAGGTAGGGCCTGCGAACCAAAGGGTCACCAGTTCGATTCCCAGTCAGGGCACTTGCCTGGGTTGCCGGCCAGGTCTCCAGTGTGGGGCACGTGAGAGGCAACCACACACTGATGTTTCTCTCCCTCTCTTTCTCTCTCACTTCCCTTCTCTCTAAAAGCAAATAAAGTCTTTTAAAAAATTTATGTAAAGACAGGATCTGACCTTGCACTTGCCCGAGACTGCTTTCTTTCCTCCCTCCTTATCTCGGGGCGAGACCAGGGAAGGGTGACTGCTTTCCTCTTTAAAGAGTTCATTATTAACCCAAGAACTAAGAGGCCGGAGAATCTCCTACCCCACACCCCTCGCTGCAGTGCTGCGGGCTGGCCCAGGTGCGCCGCAGGTGTGCACTCCCGTAGGCGGCCCCACGCGCCGACACTCCCCACCCCGCCCACCCCGCGCGCTCCCAGTTTCGATTTCCTGCGCGTGAACCTGCGCCTGCGCAGAGTACAAGACGCCTGGCCCGCCCGAGAGCGCTCCGCCCCCCAGGCTATGTAAGGCTGCTCGGCTCGGGGTCGCACTATCGCTGGACTCCGTGTCCCTCCGCGCAGGCGGGCGGCCCCGGAGAGCTAGTGCCTGCGAAGGCGGCGACGGCGGCGCCCCGTCCTCTGATATCATGGTGAGCATGCGCGGGAAGGCCGGGAAGCGAGGAGCGGGCCGGGCACTGGGTGGGTAGTGCCTTAGCGGAGAACGGGAGCATTGGGGGATTTTCGGGAGGAAGTGGCATGCAAATAAGACCCTGAGGTTCCGGGCTCGAGTTGAGGCTTTCTTGGCAGTCCGGGGCACCCCAGAGGTAGGGGAGAGGCGAGAAGAACACAGTGGGGCGGGGGGGGGGGCGCGCGCTGGAAGAAGAAGGGACCGTGGGGTAGCCTACCGAATGGTGTGTGCCTCCCTCCCTCGTTTCCCCTGCCTTGGGGGCTTATCTGGGAACCCAGTGGGCCAGCTCAGCTCGGGGTGCTGGCAGGAGGCGGAGCTGGTGCAGAGAAGACAGTTTACAGTAAAAACTTGTCACTTGTGGCTTTTAGCTGGCAGGAAAACAAGTGGCTGAGAGGGGTGCTGTGACACGCAGCAGCGCGGCGGGTAGAACTAGGCCCTGAAGGCAGGTACCCTGTACTGCCCAGTCCTGGTGCGGGCACAAAGACCAGGACTGGGGGGGGGGGGGGGCGGCGAGAGCAGAGGAGGAGGTGGCACGCGTGGTGAATGAGGCCCTTTGTTGAGCGCTCTCCTGCCCTGCCCCCCACCAGCCCTTCTGTGGGACCATTGTCTCCCCCCCAATCCCGGACAAGAGAGTATTATCTGTTGCTACCATTGTTGGGGGAAGGGAGGCAGTCTTTGGGTGACGCTCCTCCACCCACAACCTCCTCTGCACGCCCAGAGCCAGGTCAGCTGTGGCTGTCCCCAGACCTAAGCCGCCTACCCCAAAAGAGGACATCCTTAGTAGGTGCGGAGAATATAAAAGTTGGGGGGTCCATTCTAGGACCCCTGCCTCAGGCCCTTCCTGCACACTTTCCTCTAGAGGTGGCCGCGGTGGGCGACTCCCGGGGGTACAGCCCTAACTAGAGGCAAGTGAGAGTATAGGAAAGCTCCGCCAGGCGCACCCTTCATCCTCCACAAGCAGAAGCCGTTGGTACAGAGAGGAGAGGAGAGAAAGTCCACTACACCCAGGGCGCCTGTCAATCAGGGCTGGAGAGCTCCAAGCAGGGAGGGTTCCGGGTTAGAATGAGGCCAGAGACAAGTGAGCAAGGTAGTCACGAGTGACCTGGCTGACATCTGCTCTTCCTCTTCTCACACAGAATAGAGGCTTCTCTCGAAAGAGCCATACATTCCTGCCCAAGATCTTCTTCCGCAAGATGTCATCCTTAGGGGCCAAGGACAAGCCTGAGCTGCAGTTCCCCTTCCTGCAGGACGAGGAGACCGTGGACACGCTGCAAGAGTGCAAGACGCTCTTCATCCTTCGCGGCCTGCCGGGGAGCGGCAAGTCCACTCTGGCGCGGACCATCAGGGACAGGTACCGTGACAGCACCAAGATGGTGTCTGCTGACACTTACAAGATCACCCCCGCTCAAGGAGGTTCCTCCGACGCGTACAAGCGGCTGGACAAGGACCTGGTTGACTGCTGCCGCCGGGACATCCGGATCCTCGTGCTGGACGACACCAACCACGAGCGGGAGCGGCTGGAGCAGCTCTTTGAAATGGCCGACCAGTACCAGTACCAGGTGGTCCTGGTGGAGCCCAAGACGCCCTGGCGGCTGGACTGTGCCCAGCTCAAGGAGAAGAGCCAGTGGCCGCTGTCGGTGGACGAGCTGAAGAAGCTGAAGCCTGGGCTGGAGAAGGACTTCCTGCCACTCTTCTTTGGCTGGTTCCTGACCAAGAAGAGCTCGGAGAGCCTCCGAAAAGTAGGCCAGACCTTCTTGGATGAGCTGGGGAACCACAAGGCTTTCAAGAAAGAGCTGAGACACTGTAGGTGGCGGGGGGCAGGGCAGGGCGGGGGGAGGGGGGCGGTTAGCCTCATCCTTGTGCTGTGTGCACCGGACCACGGCGTCCTCGATGCACTGGGAGCGAGGCGGGAAGCAGCTGGAGGCTCGCCCAGTACCAGGCAGAGGTCGTAGCCGTGGGTGGTGGGAGCACCGTGGGGTATGGGCACTCCACTCTTCTGCTCAGTTCCCTCCTTCTGGGGGGATCTAGGCCCCTGACCCTTGTCTTAGAGGTGGGAAAAACAAGTTACTGTCACAGCAGAAAATATGTCAGCACCTTACGGGACCTCAGAGGTCCAGTGTTTTCATTTTTAGCCAACAGAACCATTTTTCTAAAATAAAATGTCCCTCAGTCCCCTATGCTGCAAGAACATTATAACGAGGACTATCGTGCTTTCACCGGGGATGGTTCCCCCGCCTTGGGCCACCCAGTGCACCCCCTGCAGCACCCCATGTTTCCAAGAACGGTCGCCCACCCAGTTCAGACGCCCTTGTTTTGCAGCTGGGGGAACGGGCCCAGAGGGGGTGTAGGGTTTGCCCTAAGCAGCAGTGAGAGCCTGGGCTCTGGGGCTCCCCCAGGGCTCTCTCTGGTAGAGAGAGCAGTTTGCTCCAGCGACAGGGTAGGTTTGGGCAAGGAAAGGCCCCAGTGACCCTCATTCTCCTGCAGTGGCCTGTGGGGGATACGTCACCCACTAATCCATCTGTTCCTTGAACCCATTCCAGTTCCCCCCAATTTTAGGTTATCTTCACATTTGAAATGTCCCCCCCCCACCCCCCATACGGGTGTTGCTCAGAGGCAGGTAGTTGTGCCTATGTTCTCAGAGAACTCTGCTCCGCTCTTGAACTTGAACGCCAGGAAACCAGGCGATGTGCAGCCTGCAGCCACACTGACCCGGTTTGAGTCCTGAACCTGTGAAGAGCTGGAGAAAAGCACCCTGGAGGCAGGGCTCCCGGTTAGAGCTGGTGGCTCTGCCCTGGACAGCGGCTGCCTCTGAAGCTGCCTGTTACCCTTAGAAACTGGAACCCTTTTCGGCCAGGATACAGCAGGAGAAAAACGCACTGGGCCCCCGAGTGTGGTCTGCTGTCCGAGGAGAGGCCTCCGTGGGTAGTGAGTGACGTCCTTGCGGGTACTTGATTCTGGGGATGAGCGAGGGAGAAAACCTCCTGGCTTCTAGGCTAGCCAGAAGGCCGAGAGTCTGGGGATTGAAATCACAGACACTCCAGACCTCGTCATGTCTACCGGCCACACGACGCCATCCCGTTCCACCCCAAGCCCCACCACCACAGCCCAGGCCCGCACAGGCCCTCACCCACCAGACAGGACTGCTAGATGCTCGGCTGTAGCGTGTTGGCCAGGTAACCATCCCACTGAGCGACACAGGCGCTGTTAGTAGCCACCTGGGTGGTCGTGGGGAACCGGGGGCATCCGGCCACCCTGGGTATTGGACTTCATCGACAGGTAGGGGTCAGTCACTTGACCGCTGTCAAATGGACATTAACTATGCTCTTTCTAGCTCCTTCCACGATGGCACGCAATTCCTAACCATCTTCTTTCTCCCCTCCTTTTCGGGACTGGCGGGTTCCGCCTTGAATGGGACGCTGGTGAATCTCACTCCTTTGGCTTACACTGCCCACCTCTGGGTCCCAAGGGCCTTAGTGTTCAGGTCTGGGGAAGAGACATAAAAATCTACATAATGCCAAGTCTCAGGGAATTTCAGCACCTCTTTATAGCTCTGGAGTTGCTGTTCCTTTGATCAACTAGTGAATACGTGAATTACAGTGGGCTGCTCCAGAACTTAGGCTTAATGTTTCATTTTTAAACTCTGGGCCTCAGTGGTCTTGGTGATAGAGGGTGGGTGGAAGGCACCTGCTTTGCCCTGATGACCCTCCTCTCTCCCTGCAGTCGTGTCTGGGGACGAGCCCAGGGAGAAGATAGACCTGGTCACCTACTTCGGGAAGAGACCCCCAGGCATGCTGCACTGCACGACCAAGTTCTGCGACTACGGGAAGGCTGCCGGGGCAGAGGAGTATGCCCAGCAGGACGTGAGTGGCACCGGCGGAGGTGGGGGGGTGGGGGGCCAGTGGTGTACGGCAGGGTCCAGAAACCAGACGGGCAGCTCAAGAAAAATGGCATCTCCTGCTCCAGCTCACCCTTCTGGATGGCTGATGGCACAGACCTCAGGCACCTGCCCTGGGGCCTGGCAGGCAGTGCTGCCGGCCTTTGCGGTTGTCCCCAGGCCTGCCCTCCAGTGCTGGTCTCCTGCAGCGTGAGCGGTGGGGGGGCGCTGGTTCGGAGCAGACTCCGGCTCTGCAAGCCTGCGTTCAGTCCCACGGGCTGGGAGTCCTCATTCTGTGGAGCCTGGTTGTTCTAAGGACCAGCCCTGCCCCAGAGCAGGGAGTGTCCGGGGGTAGTGAGGCTCACCGGCCGAGGGGCAACCAGCCCCCCTTCCTCACGCCACAGCCTCTGACACGGGGGTCTGGTGCCTGGATAGACACAGCTGCCCCCAGCCTCCTTCAGGCCGCTTCTCAGCGCCAGGCCTTCCCTGACCGTCCGCCTGCTTCCCGGCCAGGGTCAAGGTTGTCGTTTACTTGGGTGGTCGCTGGTTTCCTGCACACGGAAGCTCCCTGAGGGCGAGCTTTTTTATTTTGGTTCGGCCCTGTATGCCTCGCACTCAGCACAGCTGCGTGAATCAGCACGTTAACACTTTCCACCACCAACTCTGGCCACCCATTCACGCAGCGGTATGCGTTAAGCATCTTTTATATGCCAGGCCCCGCTGAGACACGGGATTGTGAGCAGACACAGGACCTGTGTGCCAGGGGCAGGGAGGGGCTTTCTCGGAGAATCAGATGGAAGCCGAGAGCTGTGCGGGGACTCGGCTCAAAGGCACTGACCTCCCTTCACCCTGCCCTCCAGGGTGTGGTGCGGCCTGGCCACCAGGGTGCCTGTTACCAGGGGGAGCTGAGTGGTGGTGACAGTAGCACTTGTTGTGTGCTCGTCGCCCAGTCACTCCTGCAGCCCTCACATGGGGGGGGGGGCGGGGGGGAGTGCTGGAGTCACCGACATGTTACAGGTGAACAAGGGCTCCGCCCTGCAGTTAGTGAGGGCGGTGGGGGGGGGGCGGGGGGCTAGGTTCTGAACGCAGAGGTCTGGTGTTAACCCTTGCCTCTCTGCACCTCGGCTTTTCCACGTCGGCCAACAGTCGGTGGAGAGACACGCCCGGCACCACACAAACCGTGTCGCACGTGTTTGTGGGCGACGTGCCTTTGACAAGGGGCTCTGCGTCGCTGGGCTCACCTGTCAGACCCCACCTCGGCAGCCGTCCTCCCTGGGGGCCGCCTGCGCTGGCGTGGCTCTCACCCTCGCGCCCTCTCCCTGCAGGTGGTGAAGAAGTCCTACTCCAAGGCCTTCACGCTGACCATCTGCGCCCTCTTCGTGACGCCCAAGACGACGGGAGCCCGGGTGGAGCTCAGCGAGCAGGAGCTGCTGCTGTGGCCCAACGACGTGGACAAGCTGTCCCCCTCCGACAGCCTGCCCCGCGGCAGCCGCGCGCACGTCACCCTGGGCTGCGCCGATGAAGTGGAGGCAGTGCAGACGGGCATCGACCTCCTGGAGATCGTGCGGCAGGAGGGGGGGGGCAGCCGCGCGGAGGAGGTGGGCGAGCTGGCCCGGGGCAAGCTCTTCTCCTTGGGCAATGGGCGCTGGATGCTGAACCTGGCTAAGAAGATGCAGGTCAGGGCCATTTTCACGGGCTACTATGGGAAGGGGAAGCCGGTGCCCACACATGGCGGTCGCAAGGGGGGTGCCTTTCAGTCCTGCACCATCAACTGAGTGCTCTCGCCGCCCCTCACGCTCCTCGCTCTTGAGAAGGGGAGCTGGTGGAGAGGGAGGCACGCCCTCTGCTTGATCTTTAAGATTTTTTTACTCAGTTAACCTTCCTGTAACTTTTTAAAAACTTGTAAAGTAACTGCCCTCCTTTTTCTGTCGACCCTCTTCCTGTCTAACACTCAGGCTCTCAGCACAAAGGGGCGGGAGGTGGGCACCGGTCAGGAACCCGGACCAAAGCTGAGGGGCTGGGAGCCCAGGTCTGCAGCTCCGCCCGCGCCTGGCCAGCGGGGGGACCTCAGGGCTTCCCGTCCCTGCAGCCCCCCTGGAACACTGGTGGTGGAGGTGGGTGTGTGGCGGGGGACCCCTGGGCTTTGATCCCGTTTCTTAATCACTGTGGCCCCAGGACAGCTGGGTTATTTGCCAGGGTAGAAAGAGGGGTTTGCCTCCCACCTTCGGTCCTGAGTGCCTGTCCCTTCCTTCTTCACACTGTAACTAGGTAACAGTTTGATAACTAGGGAAGAAAACAACAACAAGAAACAGCAGCCACAGCCCACACTGGCTGCTGGCTTCATCCGGGGAAGGGCATGGGGTGGCCATTCCTTCCAGGGCTGCAGCTCAGTTGCATGGACGGGAGACTGAGACCAGAGACAGTGCTTGGTGGGACGCTGCAGTCCTGCAGTCTGCCGGCCCACCTTGCCTCCTCGGTGCCCCTGGAGGCCTCTCCGCCTCTGCAGGGGGCTGGTGGGCACTGAGAGCCAATGGAGCGGACTCCCGGCTGTTAAGGGCTCAGCCCCCCTGGTGCCTCGGGGAAGGGGCTTTAACACTGCCGCACGGGTGGGCCGCCCTCTGCTCAGTAACGGGGCCCTGTTCGTTAGGTTGTCACTTGACGAAGTGCTTGGGATTTGGGTGACAGTCCCGGCTCTGCCCAACCTCAGCAACTTGTAAGACTGATAATGAAATAAACCGTGTTAATCCCAGCTGTGTGCGGTCTCTCTCACCCTTCTGCGCCCCGCTCGTCGCCCCTAGGGCAAGCGCTGGGTGTGTGAGGACTGGCTTTGTCCTGCAGCCTGGGGCCATCGGTCCTGTCTCCCCGCGGCTGGCTGGGCACAGCTGTGGCAAGGTTGGGCAGCGGAACAGTGTGGGCTTTCATGAGGCGGCAGAAAGGAGAGAGGCTGTCTTGGATGTGCACGGAGAGTGGGGGCTGGCTGGGTTTGAGGGACGCAGAGCACAGCCCCCCGTCCTGTGAACGACGCAGACAGGCCCACAGGTGTGCCCGGCCCAGTCTGATCAGACGTCTGGGAGAAGCAAGACCCCAAACTCCCAGTATGGGTCCCCCCAGTTCTCTAGAGAAGAACACCCTCAGGTCAGTGCTGCTTCAGACCCAAGGGAGGGCCTGACACTCGGAGTCTCTTCCAGCCAACGGGCTCAGACCGCTACCCAGGGACTCCCCAGGCCTCAACCGGTCATCCCTTCACCACGGCCCTGGCACCAGAGGGGGAAGACTGGAAAGGAAAGGGCAGGCTCCGCAGGAAGGGAAACCAGACGGTCTGTTTGGTCAAGGTCCTGCCCCACCACGTCCACCCCCGAAGCACCCAAACCCTGAGTTTCACCCGGAGCCTCTAGTGTCCGCCTGGAAGCCCCAACAAGATTCCTTTCCCCACAAACACGAAGCTTGACCTGACCCACATGGCGCACGGCCACCGCTCCCTCCCCCCTGTGCCTCCCGTGCAGGAAGGGGCGCCGGTGGGGGAGCACGGGCACGTGCTAAGAGCGGTGTCCCCAGCGGTGCGCTGACGACGGCGCCCAGACCCGGGGCCCCGGAGCTGCAGGTTTCGCTGGGGAAGGGTCCGGCAGCCGGAGAGGCGGGCTTTGTACCTCGTGTCCCCCTGAGGCCTGCACTGGCAACAGGGACCGGGAAAGTGTGTGCAGACAGACCTCCTCTGGCTAGGTTAGCCTGGCCTGACACTTGGCATCCGCCCGTGCGCTCTGCCAGCTGTGGACGCACAGCTGCTCGTGATGCCCGGTGGCCCCCCCAGGACGCGAGCATGTCTCTGAACTCGGTTCCCTGTGACTGGCATCAGACCGGGCCCGGCAGCACTGGCAGCACCTGCTCAGCACCTACATGCTCAGCAGGCCGGGGAGAGGCACCCGGCGCCCCACTCACTGGCCACCAGCCTCCGGGGTGCCCACCACCCTGCGGAGCCTGCAGTCCACGCCAGCGCCACCTCTGTGCTGGGGGCTCAGCTCTGGCCCACCGACAAAGCAGCTGCCAGGGCAAAGTGCCAGAAAGGGCCAATACATTTTATTCTCTTCATTTTTTTCCTTTTTTAATAAAGTTATACAGTAAAACAAAAATTCACAAGCTGCCTCCCTGTCCACCCCCCGCCTCCCTCCCCTCCCCGCAGTCTTCGGCGCTGGCTCCCTTCCTGCACCCCACTCACAGACACAGGGCATCCAACTGAGAAAACGAAACTGCTCTAAGGACATGGAGACGTGACGGAGGAGGTGAGTTGTGTCCACATTCAAGGTTACACTGAGCAAGTCTGCATTTTCTGGGTTCTGGATGATGGCCTTTCATTAGCCAAATTGAAAGAAGAAATTCCCTGGACCAGATGCTGCGGGGAAAGAAGGGCACGTCAGCTGACTCTGGGTCTGCTAGGACACATGGCCGCTCTGATCATGGAAAAGTCTCCGAGGGCTGCTTCAAAGCCGGAGAAAAAGCTCCAAGGGCATCACACCACCGGGGCCCCTGGGCCACGAGGGAGCACGTGAGCGTGAGTAGAAGCCACGCCTTCCGACACCTCCCGCTGTGCAGACCAGCCCTGGACCTGGCAGCTTAGCCGCCCGGACCCCATGGCGGTGTGGTGGCGAGGGCCCCAAGGCGGGGTGCGCCCGGGGCTCGCTTCCTCCATCCTCGGCACGTCTGGGCGGCCAGAGGCCCTACTGCCTACGGAGCCCTGCTGCCTCCACGCAGGAGCCCCCGACCCTCAGAGCCGCCCGCCGAGGGAGCCACTGTGCCGGCCTGTGACCCGGGCACTCCCCGAGCAGCGGGCACACTCACCTTCAAAGCTGAAGCCCCCGGGGCCGCCGAAGAATGCCTTGAAGATATTGTTGGCATCAAAATCTGTGGAGCAGAGAGAGAAACGGGGAAGGAGCGAACAGGTGAGAGAAGGGGAAGCATCTGAGAGGACCTGCCCGGGACAGAGACGGTCTCCAGAGCTCTCCCAGCTCTCCCAGACAGCATGGCTCCCCCTGTTCCCAGCCTCCCAGACCAGGGGTGAGCTGCCCCGCCCCGCCCCGCCTCGCGCAAGGCTCACCGCCTGACCCCTTGACCCCATTCCTGGGCCCCACTGCCTCCTCTCCCCAAGTGCAGTCTCCAAGGAAGGAGGTGTTCTCCTCCACAACTCGGAGTGCCGACTGCACTCGCTGACACTGCTTTCCCACACTCGCCCTGTATATAATGCAATGCCAGGGCTGCTACTGAAAAGGCTGAACTTTATCCCTTGTATACGACCAAGGAAGAATACAAGACCTGTGATTTACTGTATCTGTTTGATTCTATGTGGTCTAAACTATATGTCAGAAAACGTGTGGTTTTTGAAAGCACCTCCTAGGTGCTAACCATGGCTCCAGGGACTTTGCTTCCATGATATAACTGAATCCTACTAACAATCTCTCGGGATATCATTACTGAGTTATACTCAGTGAAACATAAGCAGGGAGTTCAAATAACTTGCCCAAGGTCACGTGGACAGTAAAGGCAAACTGGCGGGAAACCCCAGCGTCCGTTTGATCCCAGCACTGTGCCCGTATCTTATCATCAGGCCACAGCAGGTCTGACGTCCCCGACCCCTGCCTGACCCCCTCGGCCGCACAGGAAGACTGATCTCCTCCGGGGGACCCACAGCTCCAGGGGATCCACAGCCCCCGTGTCCAACAGTGGATTCTCTGCCAGCACATCTGCTGACCTTCCCGAGCGCCCCCACGCCGCGACCAGCCCCCCGAGTCTGCGGTGCCAAAGCCACTCTCAGCCCAGTCCTTCCTTTCCCCACACACTCGGCGACCGACTCCTGCCTTCCCACTGTGTGCTCCGGCCCTTTCCGATCCGCTGTGCCGTCCCCCACTGCCCCCCTCCTCATCTCCTCCCAGACCACTCTCTCCGCCACCACCACATGTACTTCTAGAGCCTAAATCTGCTCCGCGGCTCCCACACCTAAAACCCTGCAATACTCCTGATGGGCTGCAGCTCCTCTCAGCTGTGGGGCAGAGCGATGCTTGCTCACTACTGGTAAACCCAGGCTTTTGCAATTCTCTCCCAACCTCTCTGAACTGGAGACCAGGGCAGGATTGCATATCAACTTATTTTAAATTTCAGCAGGTTTTCAGCAGTGGCGAGAAAGTTGTCGGCGTTAGAGACTGTGGTCTGAGAAGTGAGCGTAGTTCAAGGCCTCTCTGACCTCTGACCGAGCTCACAGTGGATGACGATGCTGACAGCTACGCTTCACGTCCGCCCAAGTCTCTTGGGGAAACCAGTACCTGGGAGGGGGCTCACAGGGGTGTACGACGCACATAAGCACCAGCGTACTCTGCAGTGGGGCACAAAAGAATGTCCAGCCCATATTCCTGGTTCCAGCCCCTGAGGCCTCCTGAGGTCTGCTCTGGCTACCTTCTGGCCTTGACTCTCCTCACCGTGCAGCCTTCTGTCCTCCTACAGGGCCCCTTGCAGCTCCCAAGGGTGCTGTGCTCTGCTGCCCTTCCATGACTTCCTTCGCTCTTGCTCACTCCTTGGTGACTATTTTGCACCTTGGCGCCTGCTACACTCGACTGCACTCACTGGGTCCCATGTCTATTAGACAAGGGCTCTGGTGTGGCCTGGGGATGGAAGTTTGCAAACTCTCAGACGGGGTTCCCGGAGGTGAGGGAACCTGTCTGATTCAGCTTCGTCGTTTCAAGCACCCAGCACGGTGCCGCACACGTCACAGGTCTTCTTCAAGCGCGCACTTGACAAATCACTGCACGTCGCTGGCTGGTCACGTAGACTCTCCCTCTGGAGTGTCTTTAGCAAAATGCCCAACTCCACGGCTGTCAGATTTACCCCAGGCTGCGCTAACCAACTCACCACCCATATTCATGCCCTCCTCGTCCAGGTCCTGCCCACTGTCATAGCGAGTCTTTTTCTTGGGATCCGACAGGATGGTGAAAGCTTCTCCGACTTCCTTGAACTTTTTCTCCTCCTCCTTCTGAACTTCGGCACTGGCTCCACTGTGCCGATCTAAAGGAAGGAGTACAGGGAACTCATCTTGGAGTCTCAAGGAAAAACGTTTAAGACCACTTTAGGTCTGACTTTGGAAGCTGGTACTTCCCAAACTGTGGAGCGCACTGAACTCAGTCCCACCCTCCTCCCAGCCAAGAGCCCCCCCAGGGTGTTCATTCTGGACAGAGGCTGGCAGTGGGCCCGCCGGCCTGCTCTCCCCCGAGTCTGCTCCCCCCGCTGCTCTACCTGGGTGGTGCATCAAAGCCCGTTTCCGGTAAGCTTTCTTGATCTCATCCTCAGAGGCATTCTTGTCCACTCCCAGAATCTTGTAGTAATCTTTCCTCTTACTCTTCTTCAGTTCCAGCTGTGCGTTTTTAAGGAGCTGTTTGTGTTCTAGAGGGAGACACCATGCATCAAGGACAAATCTGATTCTGGCTTCCCCTACCAAGTCCCAGCCCAGATGCCCTGGAGTCAGAAGCCTCGTTAACTGTATCAGCGGCGTTTATGGGGTTTTTCCCTCACTAGAGATGGTAAGAAAAATCTACTTATATTTAGGGTTCCTCACATCAGTCTCATTGCACAGAAAAGGAAGTGAAAGTGACTTCTTCTGGGACCAGAAAACACATGCCCCGGCCTGTCCCCAGGACTTCGGCTCACTTCCTCCCAGCGGTGGCTGGATCAGCTCCCGCTGCAGCCCAACCTCGAATTGGACACTCCCGTGCC